CTAATCTAATCTAATCTAATCTAATCTAATCTAATCTAATCTAATCTGTCTCCCTTTTTACAGCCCTAAAATCCCTTAACTTGGGCTAGAGTTGCGGTGACTGAATGGAGCTGAGCATTTACTGGCCAGATGCGCTTCCTGACACCAGGTGGAGATTGCAGTAGATATTTTTTCTTTGTGGCCTACGAGAGAAACATCTGCCACTACCTAGGATTAACTTCTCAATTTTCTGAGTGGCAGGTGAGTATCATCACCATGCTGCTCAGATCTGTCTGTCTGTCTGTCTGACTGACTGACATAAGTAATAGGAAGGAAATATTATAGATTTCATAAAGGTGTGAGCCCTACATTAATGACCATTACCATTTTAGTTCATGCCAATCTTTATACCTTCAATGGTGAAACCCATGATTTGGAACCTGCTACCCAGCCACTGAGAAGTGGCATTCTGGGTCTCTTGTTGAAAAACATTTTTGATGGTGTCTTTGCTGTTATTCCCTGCAGGATGGAAGTAACACTTGCAATCAACTATGATGGAACCAATTCTAAAAAATATAGTGGGGGGGTTAGGAAGAGAGAGAAAAGACATGAGTTGACTTCAGACTAAAGCTAAGAAGCAAGTTGGATCAGCAGTAAAATATTTTAATCCATACAAGCATTTCAAATTGTATTACCGCTAGGTAAAGTCAGACATTTTCAGAGGCAACTTTCAAAATCATCCTGAGTTTTGATGTCTTGATGACATGACTAAGATCAAAATGCATACAGAACAAAAGATTCCTACTATAGCATGCTGAAACTTCATAATCAAAGTATTTTGCTAATATATTATTTGCCATAAATAGCTTTTTTAGTGGTACAGAATTTCTAGCCAGCAGAACCACTGAGAGCTATATTTCCTATTATCTTAGTCAAAGGCTTCTCAACTACCCACAAAGAAATATATTGCTCTTGGCTTCTTTTACTGAAAAAGCCAATTTGGCTAAGTCACTAAACACTAAATTCAAAAATAAGGCCTGATATACAGTGGCCGAGGTTAAAACCCAACAAATTCAGCTAAAACCAGATAAGCCACATGATGGGTTATTATGTACATTGACCTATTAGGAGCGGGGGGGGGGATTTACTTTGGTGGAAATAATAATGCATCTCCATGAAGTTTCTAGATTTCAGCACATTAAAAAATGAAGATTTCCTGGTAACATTTCCCATTCTGATATGTGCATTAGATAAGCAAGTTAACTTTTGTCTTATTTATAAAATAAGGTTGGATTCACACAACTAAAATTGGCTATGATAATAGCTTGTTGGGAATTTTGTGATTCAATGTGCTGCAGCTATCAGACACTGACAATGTGTTGTATGAACAGGCTAGCACATTAATAATAAGATAGTCCATTAGTTTGGGGTTAATATACGTGCGTGCAATATTTCTCTTTATCAAGCTGGGTTTTTTGTGTTATCAGAACTACATAAATGAGGAACATGTCAACTAGCTGACCACCATGGCCTGAGGTACTTCTATGGCTCTGATTATTAACCAATGCTGCAATACTCCAAGTGAACCATACTTTTATTTTTAAAAATTCATTTTTTTCAATTTAGATGGCCGCTCATCTCAAGTTCATGATTTTGTGCAGCTAACAATATTTAAAGCAGGAAAAAGACAATACACATTGTCTTTTCTCTATTTTAAATATTGTTAGCTACACAAAATATATATAAACCTATCTAATGTAACTATTACATTATATATATAAAATATATATAAACTTATTAATGATAAATGAACATAACCATAGCATGGGCTCAGCCATACCTCCTGACAACTTAGGCCCAGTGACAGAATCATGTCTGCTTTTGTTTTCACTCATATCCCTGCCCTTAATTCTTTCAATCAATATCAACTGGACTGGAAGATTTCAATGTCTTGAGAAAAATCTGGCCATTCTCATATTTGATTATTTTGGAATACCTTTCCTAAGATACCAGCTCAGGAGCAGCAGGGCCTGGCAACCTTTTTAATGCCAAGAGCTGCATTTTCTAGGACTGATCTGTTTAGTGAATCCACATGGTAGGCCTAGTAAGGAATGAATGTGTCCAGTGCTTAAAATGGGCGTTCTGTTTCTGGTACATAGTTTATTATTCTTTCTAACTTCCCCCTTTCCCCCCCTCTTTGAGACACTTTTCTTCCCTCTCTCCCAAACTGCAATTTAGAAAGAGCTCCTGATGAACTTGCACAGAGCTTTTGTAATTAGGCCCAGCTATCCAGGGCTAGCTAATGGGTAAATGGATGGAAAGCAATGGCCTATGTGCAGGAAAGAGGTAAGGAATGAAATTCTCCTTTATTTTCAGTAGCTCTAAATTGTATCAGCTGTAAAGTCTGAAGAAATGTAAAAATTGGGGAGTATTATTTTGATGTCTATTCTGCAATGTTTGATCTACTTTACTTGGAAAGGTGGGTAAGGAAGGGAAAGGAGACTCTAGTTCTTTTACAGACATGCTGGTTTGGAATTCTGGAAGTTAAAAGCCCAACGTGCTTGGAGAATGTGAGTTGGGAAATACTGTGTTTTCTTGTTTTTATTTTATTATTTGTAGGTTAATGCAATATTGATAAATAGTTTCCTAGTATGCTGCAAAAACAATCCCTTACCTAGAGAATACTATCTCAGTTAAAAGTTTTATGTGGCCAGATTAATATCTTCAAGTGCTTGAGGACAGATAAGATCCAAACTATGAGTGTATAGACATAATTTAAATATTTTATAAAATCATAATTTACTTAATTATAGTTTCTTGAGTAAGCCACATCTGGCTGAATTCATGTACCATAATAAGCCATCACAATTCATTTGGTTTTGATTTAATTATTTATGAACTCGATATCAAGGTCTTGCTCAGAGCCACCTTTGGTAAATACTGACCTTAATTTAGTTACAGCACAAATTTTGAATCCATCGCTGATGAAGCTCTGTTGGAAGAGTTGATTCAACTGGAATCAAATCAAATTAAATCCTATTAAGCTTAAATCTGCATGTTAAATCTCTTGTTTGGTGCATAATAAGTTACCTACACTATTGAATTGTGAAAGAGGTGAGTACCCAAAACAGATCTGAGAACAAACTGTTCCACAAGAACTACACTACAGTTGCAGTTTAATCATTAAGTGTTGTATATTATGATTTATGATGAATGTATTTTTATGTTGACTGTGATCATGTTTTATCACTTATAGCTTTTATGTACAATGAGAGCTTTTGCACTGAAGACAAATTCCTTGTGGTCCAATCACACTTGGCCAATAAATAATTCTATTCTATTCTATTCTATTCTATTCTATTCTATTCTATTCTAT